GTCTTTTAACCAGTTCTCAGTCCATTAAAAAGGATCTTTCCTCTTATCCCATGACAACTTAATTTATATAAGAGCCTTGGTGAGGGACCTTGTCAAAAGCTTTCTGGAAATCTAAGTACACTATATCTACTGGATCCCCCCTGTCCACATGTCTGTTGACCCCTTCAGAGAACTCTACTAGATTAGTAAGACATGATTTCCCTTTACAGAAACTATGTTGACTTTTGCCCAGCAAATTATGTTCTTCTACGTGTCTGACAATTTTATTCTTTACTATTGTTTCAACTAATTTACCCGGTACTGACGTTAGACTTACTGGTCTGTAGTTTCCGGGATCTCTAGAGCCCTTTTTAGATATTGGCGTTACATTCACTATCTTCCAGTCACTGGGTACAGAAGCTGATTTTAAGGGTAGGTTACAAACCATAGTTAATAGTTCTGCAATTTCACATTTGTGTTCTTTCAAAACTCTTGGGTGAATGCCATCTGGTCCTGGTGACTTGTTACTGTTAAGTTTATTGATTAATTCCAAAACTCCTCTAATGACACTTCAATCTGTGACAAGTCCTCAGATTTGTCACCTACAAAGGACGGGTCAGATTTGGGAATCTCCCTTACATCCCCAGCCGTGAAGACTGAAGCAAAGAATTCATTTAGTTTTTTCATAATGACTTTATCATCTTTAAGTGCTCCTTTTGTATCTCGATCATCCAGGGGCCCCACTGGTTGTTTAGCAGGCTTCTTGCTTCTGATGTACTTAAAAAACATTTTGTTATTACATTTTGAGGTTTTGGCTAGCTGTTCTTCAAACTCCTTTTTGGCTTTTCTTTTTACATTTTTATACTTAATTTGGTAGTGTTTATGCTCCTTTCTGTTTACCTCACTAGAGTTGACTTCCACTTTTTAAAAGATGTCTTTTTATCTCTCTCAGCTTCTTTTACATGGTTGTTAAGCCACGGTGGCTCTTTTTTAGTTCTTCTACTATGTTTTTAAATTTGGGGTATACATTTAAGTTGGGCCTCTATTATGGTGTCTTTGAAAAGTGTCCATGCGGCTTGCGGAGATTTTACTTTAGTCACTGTACCTTTTAATTTCTGTTTAACTAACCTCCTCATTTTTGAACAGTTCCCTTTTTGCATAATTGTTAGCTACACTGGGGCAACAAATTGCCAACCCTTCAGGATAAAGTAAATGAGGGGAATAAATGGACATAGCTTCATTGAAGTCAAACTGCTTTAATTTTTCAGATAAGTAGGTCATGCATGAAAACAGAAGTTTGTCCCAATGTTTTTACATGGTTAAATTTAAGGTATATTAAAATGTGTTATTAACATTTGTATTTAATAGGCAATGGACTGAATCTTGTCTGTTTTTATCCCAGTGAAAATATGACTCATTAAAAGTTCTTGTATGATATGGGACAAAGTAGACATAGCCAAATGGAGGCACGTATGCTTGGATGAAGAAAATGGCTGGAGAGAATGTCAGATTTGGTTTTGTAAGTAGGACTGTCATTTAATCACTGTTAAATCAAGCAGTTAACTCAAAACAAATTAACTCTATTAAAATGTATCATAATTAATCACAGTTTTAATTGTGCTGTTAAACAATAGTAGAATACTAATTTAAATTTATTATAATTATTTTCAGAGGTTTTTATACTTTTTGACTATGATGATTTCAATCACAACAGAAAACAATATGTATACTATATATTATTTTGATTAAATATTTGCACTGTAAAATGGTATTTTTCAGTTCACCCCATACAAGTACTGTAGTTCAATCTCTATCATCAAAGTGCCACATTATCAACAATCTACAACTTATCCTGGAAAATGAACCCTCACTCTCACAGGCCTTGGGGGACAGGATAGTCCTTGCCTACAGACAACCCCCTAATCTCAAACAAATTATTTCCAGAACCCATGCAACACACCTCCATCATACTCATCCAGGAACCCACCCCAGCAATCAAGTTCAGTGCCAACTCTGTTCACAGATCTATACAAGTGATATCATCAGAGGATCTAACCACGTAAACCATCACACCACAGGCTCATATAATTGAATATCCACCAATGTGATCTAGGCTATCTAGTGCCAGCAATGCCCCTCTGCCATGTATATTGGCCAAATTGAATAGTCTCTGTGAGAAGGATTAATGGACACAAATCAGATATTCGAAAAGGTAACACAGAAACCTGTTGGGGAACATTTTATGTTGCCCAGGCACTCATTAATGGATCTCAAAGTCACCAATTTAAAAAAACCAGCTTTAAAGGGAAGCTGCAGAACTTAATTTCATTTACAAGTTTGATACCTACAATAGACGTTTAAAGAAATCTTAACAGGATTACATGTTATATCCCACATCCTAAAGACATAAAAGGCCAGGTACTTAAGAACACTTAAAACCCTCTCTATCAGCTTCATGTAGCATGGAAACTCTAATTGACTATTCTTTTCCCATTTTTTCTCTTCTCCTTTCCCTCTCCATCCCCTCTCTCTGATATTTATTTGGAACTTGGACCCCTTAAACTCCATTCATCTAAAGAAGTGGGATGTGCCCACAAAAGCTCATGATACCATCTACATTTTTTTTTAGTCTCTAGGGTGCTGCAAGACTATTTGTTACTTTTTAAAGTTCTTTCAGTTACAGACTTACATGGCTACTCCTCTGAAACATATAAATGTAAATTTGTTTGTTTGTTTGCTCTACATAATGGCACTCTGATAAAACAATGTAAAACTTTAGAGCTTACAAATCCACTGAGTCTTACTCCTTGTTCAGCCTATCACAAAGTCAAACAAGACTGTTATATTTACGGGAAATAGTGTTGCCTGCTTCTTATTTACAATGTCATCTAAAAGTGAGAACAGGTGTTTGCATGGAACAGCTGTAGTGGGCATTAAAAGGTATTTATGTGGCAGATATGCTAAACATTCTTATGCCCCTTTATGTTTCAGCCACTATTCCAGAACCAGAAGGCATGCTTGCATGCTGGTAATGCTTGTTAAAAAATAATGCGTTAATGAAATTTGTGACTGTACTCCTTGAGGGAAAATTTTGTCTCCTGCTCTGTGGCCTTGCCCACATTCTGTCATATATTTTGTGTTATAGCAGTTTTGGATAATGATCCAACATATGTTGTTTGAAGAACAATTTCACTGCAGATCTGACAAAATGCAAAGAAGGTACCACTGTGAGATTTCTAAAAATAGCTACAGCACGCGATCCCTGGTTTGAGAATCTGAAGTGCCTTCCAAAATGGAGGAGGGACAAAGTGTGGAAAATGCTGTCAGAAGCCTTGAAAGAGCAACACTCTGATGCAGAATGTACAGAACCTGAGCCACCAATAAAGAAAATCAATCTGTTGTTGGTAGCATCTGACTCAGATGAGGAAAATGAACATGTGTCAATCTGCATTGCTTTGGATTGTTATTGAGCAGAACTTGTCATCAGCATGGAAGCATGTCCTACTTAACATATTAATGTTTAGTGTATCTGGCATGTAAATATGTTGCAATGCATGCTACAACAGTGCCATATGAACACACTTCCAGGTGACATTGTAAGTAAGAATCAGTCAGCATTTTTTCCCATTAGTATAAACAAACTTGTTTGTCTTAGGGTGCGTCTACACAACCGGGCTTAACTCGAAATAAGCATGCAAACTGAGCTACATCAGTTGAGTATTTTATTTTGAAATAGCTTATTTCAAAATTGGGAGTGACTATACAGCACTTACTCCAAAATAAAGTACTCTTGCTCCAACTTCCCTTACTCCTCATACAATGAGGGTTACAGGATTCGGAATAAGAACTCCTCCAGCTTGAAAGTATTTCGACATTATTTCAAAATAACTGTCTACTGTGTAGATGTGGACTAGTTATTTCAAAATAATGTTGCTGCGTAGAAGTGACCTTGGTGATTGGCTGAATAAGAAGGATTGAGTGGATTTGTAGGCTCTAAAGTTTTACATTGGATTTTTTTAGTGTCGTAATTGTAAAAAAATCTACATTTGTAAATTGCACTTTCACAATAAAGAGTTTGTATTACAGTACGTGTATGAGATTAACTGAAAATACTATTTCTTTTGTTTATTCTTTACAGTGCAAATATTTGTCATAAAAATAATATAAAGTAAGCACGGTATACTTTATATTCTATATTGTATTTGAAATCAATATATTTGAAAACATCTAAATATTTAAATAAATTATACACTATTATTATTTAGCAGTATGATTCAAATTGCAATTTATCATGGTTTTTAATCATGATTAGTTTTTTTAAACCATTGGACAGCCCTAGTTTTCAAACTTGTAAAAAGCCAAATAGGATGAATTTTAGGTTTCTTACAGACAGCAATCCTGATCAGGAAACTGTATCTGTCAAAGATTCAAATATTATGACCCCTTGCAATACCAACAACATGAAAACAGGAAAACAAAATCAGAAGAGAAAAAATGCTTCAATAAACAGCATTTTGTCTGTTTTTTGTGTAGAGTTCATAGATTAGCCATTCCTCAATAGGAATCAATAATGTAAGCTATCTTTTTTTAGCAATGATTGATATTTTAAAAGTCTATATCCTTTTAGAATAGTTAATTTTAGATGTAATAATTAAAATACTGTTCTTTTGCCTCAAGAGTGCTAGTAAAACAAAAGATAAGAAAAGGAAACTTATTACAAAAAACAAAACAAAACAAAAAACTCACCTCCAAAAAAACCCCAAACAAACAAACAAAAAACTAAAAGCTTTGAATGAGTTGTCTTAGGCTTGTGTCTACCCTGAACATCCTCTAATTCTTGTTAATGTAATTGCACAGTTTCTTTTAATGTCAGTGATTTATGATTTTTAGTTAAAAATCAAGTATTGCTTCTCTTTTTCCTCTTTCTATGCTCAATGGCTGTTTCTACAAGTGTTCTTTTTCTCAGGGTTAGGATGAGTTGAAAGAAGAGATGGCTTGGAATTATCAGTCAGGATACACACCTATTCCTTGTAGGGCTCCCCCTAGTACCTGAGCATCCATAACTGGGTTGAAATTTGGAGCTGGGAAGATTGTTCCTTGCATTTGCTAAGAGAGAAAAGAGATACTGTTATTTGTAATGAATAATTAATTGTATACAAGACATCATCAGAATTATGAACATAAACCCAGATTTTGGAATCCTTGCTCATATGAACAATCCTTCCTTTAGTAAGTAAAACACTGAAGCCAAACACTTGGCTTTCTGGAGCCTATGTATGTAATGAGTAAAAGTTGCATTTTTTTAAACCCATTTACACTCAAAACACATACATTAGTTTCTATGAGTTACTAGGAAATATTCCACAAGTGACCAGTAAACAATATTAATATTAACAATATTAATCCTTGCATTCCAACCTGATTAAAGGGGTATAAGCAACTTGATTATCACATTTCCACTGAAAATTGGGTACCTATTATTGTAAATAGCTTCTACAGTGATTATAACACCTGATATTAGAGAACAATATTTGTTTACTTTAAATGCACAAGAGGTAGGTGTGAAAAGAGAAAAAGGGAACAGGTATATTCAAACATGTTCAGGAGCACTGACAGCCTGCATAGGTCCTTGGACAAGGTGGGGAGGCTGGCCTAGGATGGAAGAGGCAGGTCCAGGCAAGCCCTGGGCACCACAGAGTGCAGTGCATCCCTCCCAGTCTTAAGAGCCACACGTAGCATGTGGTGAGGTGCTCTGGTGGCAATTTAAAGAGTCTGGGGCTCCTGTTGCTGCTCCTGCCACAGTACATAGGAAAATAAGAATGGCCATATTGGGTCAGACCAAAGGTTCATCTAGCCCAGTATCCTGTCTTTCAACAGTGGCTAATGCCAGGTGCCCCAGAGGGAATGAACAGAAGAGGTAACCATCAAGTGAGCCATCTCCTGTCACCCATTCCTAACTTCTGAATGGGATACCATTCCTACCCTTCTATCCTCCATGAATTAATCTAGCTAATTTTTTAACCCTGTTAAACTCTGCCTTCACAATAACATCCTCCTGCAAGGAGTTCCACAGGTTGACTGTGCATTGTGTGAAGACCCTTGTGTGAAGAAGTAGCAGTGATGGTGGCCTGGAGCCCTGGGCACCTTTGAATCGCTGGGCCCCAGGGCACCTGCCCCCTTTCTCCTCCCCTCTTGTCAGTGGACCTAGACATGTTTGACATATCAGGCTCACCTGAAAAACATGAAGAAAATGCTTTTAGCATTTTTTTAAAGCTAGGATGTTATTTGAAGGGTGGCTAATCAGAAAGCAATGCTTTAAGTTAGCTATTCTTAAAAAAATCAAGTTGAGGAAAAATAAAATAAAACAATGACATTTGATATAGTTGTGAGTGTTATAAAGGAATAAGAGTGCCCCAAGCAGAATTCAGATTAAGGTCTTCCTCTGTTTAGTACAGAGTTCTAGATCTTTGAAGCTGCACTGAAGTAGGATAAAGTAAAAACATGACTCACATTCAGTTCCAATACTCTCTGTCCAGCAGCAAAATGGTGGAACAAAGATTAGACATACATGTTCCACTGTTTCAGAAATAGTTGGCACTGAACAGTCAAACTGAATACAAAAATGCTATTTTAGTTTAATTTTCTTAAAATCAAGCAGATGTCTTGTTCCTTAAATAAGCCACCCAAAGTATAGACACACCAGAAAAAAATAATTTCAGAATTGGAAATTCTAATTAATTCCAGTTGGTAAAATTTAAAAGAGCTGTCGGATCTAGCACTCACAATAGATCAGTAACAAATTTCATGCACATGGAATTTGTTTTTAAGATTGGGTGGAGAGGATGTTTTCATAAAACTGGTGTGGCTTATGGTTATCTCCACATGGATGTGAAAGATCAATGGAAACAATATAAATCTAATTTGTCTAGGTATTTTCATAGTGTCCAGTAAAAACAAATCTTAACTTAGATATTCTTTGATGTATTGGTATATAGGCACCATTAATATTGTAGGCAGATGTGAGAGAAAATAATTTAAAAATCTAGTCAATCAGTTGCTTCTACTTTATGCTGAAATTATTTCTCTCTGCCCAATTCTGCAGACTTAAAGTATAAAGGTATGTCTACACTACAGCGTTATTTTGAATTAACTTAATTCAAATTAGTTAATTCGAAATAAGCTAATTCAAAATAACGCATATAGACACAAAAACTAATTCAAAATAGCATTTTTCTAATTCGAAATAGTATATCCACATTGAGTGGACCCTGAATCAAAGATAAGGCTGGTTGGAACCAGTGCCAGCAGGGCATCAGGGTCGGACTTAGTGTGTGGGGCTGCTGCCTCAGGCTAACCGAGGTCTGTGCTTAAAGGGACCCGACCCTCCCATCTTGAACAGATAGTTCTCAGGTTTCTCTGCTTGCTGGTCTACCTCCCTGAGGGACAGCAAAGCATTTGTGTCTCGGAGTGCTCTGCTTGCCCTCACTCGGGGCACCACGGCACTCTGCAATATGGAACCAGACCTGCCCCTGCAGACTCGGCTGTGTCTCGGAGGACCATTGAGGAGCTGTCAGGATCTAGGGGCGCCTGCAGGAGAGCTTCCACCCTGAGGAGCGCTAACAGTCTCCCCGGTCTGCCCCACCAGGGGCTTGTGCCCCATTCCTCCCTCTCGTCCTTCCACTTACCCTTCCCTAGCCCCCCCCTTCCTGATGTCAAATAAAAGACACATATTTTCAAAAATAACAATTCTCTTTCTTGAACACAACTGGGGAGGGGGAATGAAACTGTGGGGAGACGAGGGAAAGGAGCCGGGAGAGGGCAGGAGAGAGGGTGGGAAAGGGGAGGGGGAAAACTGGGAGGAGGGAGCTGGAAGGGGGAAGCAAGGGGAAGAAGGGCAAGGGGAAGCTCAGGGATCAGGGGTGGGGATTTCACTAGGCCAATGCCTCCCAGCATGGCGAGGGAGGGGGCATCGGCATCCCCAGGGGGATAGGGAGAGGATGCAGAGGTTGAGGTGGGGGATGTGGACATTGAGGGGGAGGGTGTGGAGGTTGAGGAAGAAGAGGTGGGGGGGCAGGAGTGGGAGGAGGGACAGTAGTTGGGGGAGCATCAGGCGCAGGACAGGCACAGGGCACCATGCTCTGCAGCAGGGCCTGCAGGTAACAGTTCCTCGCTTGGTCCTCCGCAGGCTGCTCCCGGCGGAGCTGCAGGTCCTCCTGCATCCAGGCCTGGATGGTGCAGTGCAGAGCTCGCAGGGCCTCCAGGTGCTGGTCCTAGTATTCCTGCCACGTGGTGGTGGTCCAGAGCAGGTCGCGGGATCGGCATCCCCAGGGGGATAGGGAGAGGATGCAGAGGTTGAGGTGGGGGATGTGGACATTGAGGGGGAGGGTGTGGAGGTTGAGGAAGAAGAGGTGGGGGGGCAGGAGCGGGG